ATGTCGATATTCTTTTCCTACCTAATTGAACATTTGTAGCAATCATCGATTACTCTTGTCGGCGAATTGCTCTTCAAGGTGTCCGGGATATCCGGCAAGGCCTCCGACCTGGAGGAAGATGAAGTTGCTGTGGAAGGAACCACGAATGAGTCTTCCAGACGTGCACTTGTCGAGATCCTGGGTGTCGAGCGTCGAGATCGTATTCTTGCGGCGTTGTACCTGGTTCGCCAAGATGGAGTTGGCGTTGTCCGTCAATCATCTATCCAGATCTGGAAAGCGTTGGTGCACAACACCCCGCGGACAGGTGCTTGGAGCTTTGATCCACCGCTTCGATGACTGAGCTGAAGCCCTATATAGTGCGCGAAATCCTCCCTGAATTGGTCCGACAAATCCTTTACCTCATCTCAAGCTCCGAGTTTGAACAGCAAGAGGTCAGTTTCATATCTTTCGAATGTTCCCGTTGTTTATGCCCTTCAAGACAGCAGGTAGAACAGTTGGTGAAATATGCCGCAAATTCGGTGATCGGATCCTTGGGGAAATTATGCTCATTCTCCGCACCAACTCGACATCCACGGATCCGAGGTCTCGGGAGGGCGTCTGCTTGATGCTGAGTGAAATCATGTACGTCTTCGCTTCTCGGGATCGTACCATCGGTACTGAACTATGACAGGGAAAATTCTACTGACTCTCAGCGTGAAGGCCATGAAGATGACATTGTGTCTATTGTCCGCATGTCTCTCGTCGATGACGAGGCGAATGTACGCTCCGCGGCGGCAAAGGCCTTCGATATTCTCCAAGAATATCTCGGACCCAAGGCCATTGACCAGACCATACCCACACTACTCGACGCCCTTAGACAGCCAGGTAAAGGATCCGGCACCGCTCTTCAAGCTCTGCGGGAAGTCATGAGTGTCAGTGTTATTGTCCAACTATGTACCCGGCACTTCTCTGACAGACATGCTGCAGGTCCGGGCGTCAACCGTGTTCCCCGTACTGATCCCAACACTAACCGCTATCCCGATGACACTCTTCAATGCTCGAGCATTGGCTGCATTGGTTACTGTAGCTGGCAGTGCGTTAAGCAGGCGCCTATCGGTGATCATGAGCGCTCTCGTCAAGGTGGTCGAAGAGGACCAAGATGAGGAACTGCAAGGTGCTGTAGATGAGGCTATCCGGGCCCTTTTTGCCTCTATCAGCGACGCCGAAGGCCTCAACACATTGATGATGATTCTACTTGGATGGTCTTTATTTATTTGCACTTGCGCAGAGACATTCTGAGTTGTCGTACAGGGCAAAACACGACTCTCCGAAGCGCCGCGTCAGCGGGTGCAACTTTTTTGCAATCTTCTGTGAAGAGTCTAGTCTAGATTCGTCACTTTACCGAGTCGACTGGATCCGCCAGCTAGTGCCATTGTTGGAAGACTCGCAGGTCCCGGTGCACATTGCCGCATGGGGTGCATTCGATGTGTTTGTCAAATCCATCCCCAAGGATGAGCTCGAACCTCTGGTAGTCCCTCTTCGACGCAGTATCGAGTCTACAGGTGGCCCAGGTCTCCATGTACCAGGCTTCAGTTTGCCCAAGGGTGTTTCACCCGCCGTCCCCATTATCATTGCAGGTCTCACTACTGGTAGCAATGAGCAGCGGGAGCAGGCCGCGTACGCTATCGGGGACCTTGTGGAGCGCACAGAGGAGAGCGCGATCAAGCCTTACGTCGTCCCTTTTACTGGACCTCTCATCCGAGTCGCCACCCAAGCTACCACTTATCCCCCTGCCGTCAAGACTGCCATACTCAGCGCGCTCACCTCCATGCTCGAGCGGATACCTACCTTTGTTAAGCCGTTCTTCCCCCAGCTACAGCGCACGTTTGTCAAGAGTGCCAGCGATCCCGCAAGCACCGTCGTACGAAACAAGGCCGCTCAAGCTCTGGGTGTCTTGATGCGAAACCAACCACGAGTTGATCCTGTCGTGACAGAACTAATCTCAGGGGTCAAAGCGAACGACGATGGGATTGCAAGCAGCTTGATTCTGGCATTGAGCAACGTGGTAAAGAATGCTGCCCAAAACCTGGGCGAGAAGGCGCGCGAGTCTTGCGTGGAGCTGGTCATGGATGCTTTCCGAGAATCGCATGATGGTGAGTGCACACTTTTTCGCATCTTGAGATCAGGGTTTGAAGCGCCTGCAGATAATTATGCACAGGCTGTCGGTGAGCTGGTTGCAAATTTGACCGTATTTCCCGACCTTCTTCGACCGCTCGTCGAGTATGTGTCGATGTCTTTATCTTCTGCTTTCCTTTCCTTACCTGTTCTCTTAGGACCTACCTGGTAGCAGGCACACCGCCTTCCATCATGTCCTCACACACTATCGTCGCCCTGCTCACGCCGGACGAAGAAGGCGACAGCTCTCGGCCGAATTTATTCCAGCAGCTGTCGGTGTTGAGGAGTGTCGCCCAGAAGGTACAAGAGAGTGCAGCGCACGACAAACCGTTTGTTGCTCGGCCGGCGCGGGAGGCAAGGGAGCTCCTGAAGGAGTTGGACGACAAGAGTCTGCAGGGATTTTACTAGGCAATTGTATACTAGTCGCAAAAAAGTAGATCGGCACACGAGCATCAAGACGGGAGCAAAAACGCCAGTGCCTTTCCGCTTAACGAGTGCTCAGCGCTCAACCTTGGGGAAGATGAAATCCGTGTCGATGCGTTCTGTACAATCTCATGTCATATATAGTGGCCGTGACATTACTCTGGTCAGTTTAAGCCAGGTTATTTAACACCGGGAGGGCCTTTGGGATGTTGCAGACTTGCGAGGGGTGGTCCCTGTTCTTGTTGTGGAATATTCTGGTGCCCTCTAAGTATCTGGCCATAGTCCACGGTTACTTTCATACCGCATGCTTGGTATCGCTTCAAAAATAATTGTCTGCCGGGCCGCGTGTCGAGTCCAGCACAGACGACAGAGGCGGACGAAGGAAAACACGCCTGAATGCAGAAACGCTAGAAGAAGCGGTGGGCGGGGGCAAAGGCACCCGCCGTATTCACGGTGGTGTTGCGAATGGGGCTCAGCGCAGGCGCCATGCATGCGGGCGACGATCTTGCTGACTTTCGGCCGAGGAGCACAACGCAAGCACGGGTGACACGCGGAAAAGCTCAGCCCAAGTGCCGAGACCAACCGCGTGCATGATGTTCGGGCGCGATCGCATCCAGGTGCGCACCGTACAGACGGCATCGATGAAGCATGCGCAGGGCGGCGTTGGCGCGAGATTTGCGAGTGGCATTGGCGTGTGGAGTCGCGAGCGCGCAGAGGGTGGCGTGGGCGCAAGCTGTTCACTGAAGATTCACGCGGGTCTGCGGCCCTCGGGGTCATGTCTGCACGCATCGGTATCGGCGACGGTGTACAACATCGTCTGCTCACCGCTCCCGGTGGGCCGTGGCGTACTGCGCGAGCTTCAAGAAGGTCGCCGTACCGCCAGTCCAGGTACGAGATGCGGGCGTCACACGACTCGCTGCGATGCGCGTCAGCCGATGGAGGGGACAGGTAACAGGATATACAAAGTACCTGGCATGTTGTACGTCCCGGGCATGACAAACTCGAAGTCCATCCCGTCGGGCTCGTGCCAGCACATGAACGCGGAGCTGTACGTCGAGTTGGTGCGCGTACACGCAGGCAGGCAGAACTGCGTTGCGGAGATGTGCAGCATCCACTCCTGGATGGGCAAGTTCGCGGCCAGGGCCCCACCGATGGAGGCGTAGACGTGCCAATTCGGGTAGTGGTCCCGATTTGGAAGAGTCACGACCGTGCGAAAATATGTTTTCCTTGGACTTGGGAGATACTATTGGCTACCGGCAATGCTATGGGACTTTGATGGCATCACCGTTCTGTCCCAATTTGGACGCTCTGCCAAAATCTCAGGCCTCGATGGATAAACCTGGTATAAAATCGCCCGGCCCTGCTACAGCACAGTTTATTGAGCCATAAATCATGATAAATCATTCTACATGTATTCTTGGTAACAGATTTTTTGAAGTTCTGCTGTAGCTCAAATTCAAGCCAAGAGAGACATCTATTGACCTGAATTCGGGGAAGTTTTTACCAAGAATACACATAGAATCAATTAAAATAATATTTGGGCCAGTTTCTGGGTCCATATCGAGTCCGTGGGAGCCCATACTAGGTCGATCTGAATCAGTGGCAAATCCAGTGATAACTAGTACAAACAAAGATGAACTGCCAATTCTATCTGAATACAGTGGTCTCTGGGCTCAGAAAAAGAGGTATATGGTTGTATTAGTACCTGGAAACAGATTTCAAAGTCTTCAGGAGCCAGAGCAGCAGAAGAGGATGAGAACATATCTAAGAGGGAGTTTGCCATCGGAAAGGCCGGATCACGCTTATGTAAGCGAACGATTTTCCCAAACGGATTGCCGGTGGCCAATACTATCGCTCCCAAACCATGAACTTAACCACTGCTTAACCCAGCTTTCCGACCACCCGAGCTCCCGATATAGCCGGCATCAAAGTCTGATTTAGCCTCAACAACTCATCACCGCAACATCCATCTCAACCTGTCTTTGGATCTTGATTTAACCCGACTTTCTGTGATTTGACTCAGTCCACCATTGACCTAAACTTTATTTTCACTTCCTGAACTGGCCCCTCTTTTGAGACATCGCATTTAGCCTCCCTTTTGAAGACCCCTGGTTTTGAAGCCTGCTTTAACCCGGCTTTTTATGCCCAAGACCTACGCTTTTTATTGTTTCCATAATAGGTAGGTCCTGATCGAAAGATAGTAGGGTTTGAGGCGACGAAGATGGTGTGTGACAGATCTGTACATGGTACTGGTGTATAGATTAAAGTGGCCGTGGCATTGCCACAGCCACTTTACCATGGCAATGCTGACGTGGAGAGTGCATGTCAACGCGAGTCTTTGAGGTCATAGGCCGCTCCGAGCGGAGCGTGGCGGTGGGAGGGGACTGGATGTGGTGTGCTCCGGTGCTGTATAAATGTCAAAAGGTGAGATGGCCGAGCGGTCTAAGGCGCCAGACTAAGGATCCACTTCATTGAAGTACAACTTGTGATAATGCGATGTCCCAATCTGGTCATTAATTTGGCGTGGGTTCGAATCCCACTCTCATCACTTTTTTGTACTGTCAGCCCTTGTCTGAGACTTCGTCACTGTCTTACCTCAACTAGATTTATCTTTTAGCCTCTCTGCACCATTTTTATCTCAATCTAAAAGTCAATGTCACAGAATAGCATCGTTGACGGACCTTTCAGAATTGCCCTATTTAGACGAAAGTGTAGGTGCTTCGGTGTTTGTCATAGTCAGTCGTAGGAGCTTGTGTTTGTCTCGCGAGCTCCCCACCAAGACCAGCTCATAGTGCTACATTACATAAAACATTTTGCACAAGTGTTAGTCTTTGTTGCAGGACTGGCTGCGCTCGCCCACTCTTCACCCCCTTGAACAATGTAAATTATGCACTCAGGACAACAGCATCAGTCGTGCTCAATTCATAGCATCATTCTGCCAAAGATCCAGAACCCCCATTGCATATCTCATGAGCCAGAGATCATACAATGGACTGCCATTAAATACAATGTCTCTCTGCCAACGTTCCATTGTTTACCTTCACCCCACCTTTTTTCACCTAAGGAGACACCTATTTCATTACGTAAACCCCCTCTTAGGGGGGTTCTTTTGTAGTACCGAAACCTACCTAAGAGGTCCCAGGCTCCGCGGTGCCTTGAGTAATATTACTAATATAGAAGCCTTCCACTTTTGGTGGCAAATGTTCGTAGCCTCCTAGGGGCAAACCTTGGGTCCATTCTGCCATATTCTAGTGCTCCCAAGCAACCAAGTCTCAGATGCAATGACCATTGTGTCTTTGGTAAATTTTGGTCCTCCTTGAACAACATTAGCTTCCAAATAGACCTGCATGGTGGCTTGCATGGTGGCCTCTGTTTTTTGCTTCATTTTGAATAAACCACCCATTTTGTGCATCACATGGGAGTAGAGTCTTATATACCCATGTCTACATGTCAAATTTTATGATTTGCAAGTGACTATGTGTGAAATGAGATTCAACAGCGCCTCTTTTGGTGCCCGCCTTTGGCCAAGCTTGGCTTCCAGAAAGCTCCAAAACTCCATGACAAATATTCTCAAGTGCTGATATGCTTTGAAAGGGACCCCAAGCAGTATTTTCTGGCTGCTGGATTCAAAAACAAAACAGTGATAGATCCCGCTCGGAGCCCTCTACAGACCAAATCTTCCACCCAAATGCTGACTGCATTGACTGCAACAACAACAGTGATGTAAATCTCAGTTGTCAGTAATGTTCATGCCATCGTAGAGTGGATTGACACCAAAGTACAGTGTTGTAATATTTTCTTGGTGCCCTCTGCTGAACCAAATGTTCCAATTATATGTCTTTGAAACTCAACCATAAAATATTGTGCTCCCCAATCCTCATTTAGACCCAACCCTCAGACCTGCCTGACAGCTGCTGCAGAACTTCTGCAAGACTTTGTTGCACACCAGGAGCCTTTCAGAGGGCTGCAAGGCCATGCACATCAGCAAATTTACAAGTCCTTTTCCTGCGGCTTTTCGCACCTTTTCGAGCTTTCACCTTTTTCATGTCCTTTTCATGTCCTTTTTGTTGTGCTTTTTCGAGCTTTTTGTGGCTTTCTCCTTTTTGGCTCCTTACCGGTTACTATTTTCCGAGACAGTTGAAAAACATACCAACCAGCTGAGAGTTGAAAGAAAAGCCCTCCCTGCAACCAGTGAGAATTAGTATTGAGTGCAGATTGCTCAGTGTTGCCCTAGGCGGTCAAACCCGGCAAACGCTGCAACCGCGCTGGAATTTGAGAATTTGAGGCGGTGGTAAATCCAAAAGATTGTGTCTTGCGCGCAAATCTCATAGCAGACATCTGCGGTCCGAAAAAAACAAGACATAGGGAACTTTGGCTGAAGATGTTGGCGAAATTTGGCTAAGTCAGTTTAAACTCCGCCCATCACGTCAAGTGGCGTGATTGATGGTTGGTTGGTTGATGGCCACGTCACCCATCCTTTCTCTCTTTCCCCCACCTCCCTTCCCCTCCTTTTGTTCCCTTGCTTCTACGATACCACTAGTAACCATCTAGCATGAGTCTTCAAGCTTCAAGTCTGGAAGGCCCAAGGCTCAAGCCCTAAAGTCTCAAGCCCCCAAGCCAAGCCTCAAGCGTCAAGCCTATTCCTTGTCTCGCCATACCTGGTACCCCGCTCAAGCCATTCAAGTTTCGCACAATCTAATGCTAGTCTCTTCCCACTGGAGTTCAATCCTCTCAAGCATGTCTCTGTTCTGGTTCTTTGCGCCTCTGGTGGTTGCCGTCGGTTCTCATGCGAAGATGCAGCGAGGTTGATGGATTGCACATCATGGTTTCGCTAGTACGTGTCATGCCCACCAGCGCAGCTATTTGATACTGATCCCCGTGCGCGCCCGCCCACCCGCCTCTCGACCTTATTTGCATCCCTCCCCACATGGTGCGTATCTACTGTTCACTGATGCACGGCTATTTTGATTTTGCCGGTGATTAGATTGTAATGCTCCAAGAGCCCAATGGCGAGCACGTGTTGCGAGTGCGCATATCGCGGTCGCTCGTGCCGCATCGCGCCCGTTGAGCCTCTGAGCACGTGCATCTATCGCGCGCAAGCTCAAGCGCTGTGCCGTGTGCCAGCCTATCGCGCGCAAGCTCAAGCACTGTGCCGTGTGCCAGCGCCGCGCATGCACGTACAATGCGGAACCCCCGCGCGCACCTGTACTCCGTCTGCGCGGATGCGACCCGGTGGAGACGTGAAACGGGCTTACTATCATACCTATTCATGTTTTTAGTACCGTGAATATAGCTGTTTTGGTATCTTTTTTGGTCCTTTTTGAGCTTTTTAAGTCCTTATATCAGAGCTTTTACCTGAGCTTATTTTGTCCTTTTCCGCCTTTTCCGCCTTTTAAAAGCAAACGGACTCAGCGTAAAAAAGGCGCAACAGCTTTGCGGCCTTTTCGCCTTTTTCGCCTTTGAAAAGGACAAAAAGCCGCGGAAAAGCCGACTTGTAAAGATGCTGATGCACTTTACTGTCATCCACCTTGCCTCACCTTGTTGGGCACTAGAGATGTTAAATTATATGATGAGAGTGATTTCCATCTTTGTAGGACATCAAGGGATATAATTCCAAGTTATAGATAGGTTTTCTCATCAAAGTGTTCGCAATTTTGGTGGGCACCTGAAGTTGTGTAGGCCTCCTTCCAGGTCAGGATACTGTATTTGGAGACCCAGGAAATCACAATGTAGCCAGTAACAACTGTAGTAATTTGAAATAGACAGTTCCTCCTGTTAAATCCAGTACTCTAGTGGATCTCTTCAGTAGAGATGCCACCGAGGGAGGGTTGACAAATGTTGATGACACATATTGATCGGCCAATCAGATCACGAATAAACATCGTCACAATGTAAAACATTTATTGTGAGCTTGATACTTCATATAATTTCAAATTGAGGATATCAAACAGCAGCTGGAAGCAGCCCCATCCTATATGAGTTGATAGAACTCTTGTATCTGCCCTCTGAAAAAAAAATTTTCTCGGGTGCACAAAAGAGTGCCAAATTCAACCAAGTTCTAGTATTGAATCCTATATACTTGACTTTAATATCTGCATCAACTTGCTCACAGAAATCCCAACTACTCTTGGTTATTCAATAAGGCTACAGGGCCCCTCTGAAATGTATTTCAATGGCAGTTCATGTTTATTGACTGTGCTACAAGGTCAATTAGAACCTAGAAACATCGAAATTTGACATATGGTGCTCATGAAGGTCTAATTATTCCTACCAATGCATGTAGACTGTGTGGGTATATTAATACAACTAGATTCCATGGTTTGATCCCCCCAAATCCAGTGAAAGAAGCTCACAACACTCAAATCCAGAAATAATGGAGCCCTCCTGCAGGCTCTCATACACACAATTAAAAAATTGAACACAAATGTACCATTAAATGTACAACCAATTAAAATATAGAGCTGAAAGGCAATTATGAGAACCTATAAATAGCAAAGTTCATCTCATAGAGTGCAATTATATCCCAGATACTTTCTGACAGAGTTTGAACCTCAAACTGGTGAGTGTATTAGAGTATGCAGGTGTCTCAATGCACCACTCTGATGTGGGAGAAGTTCCCAGTTTTTTCTCTTGAACTTTTAAAAAAGCTTGTTAGCTCTGATGCTTGAACATCCTCAGAACTGGAGCCCTCTGAAAGGCTCCTGGTGTGCAACAAAGTCTTGCAGAAGTTCTGCAGCAGCTGTCAGGCAGGTCTGAGGGTTGGGTCTAAATGAGGATTGGGGAGCACAATATTTTATGGTTGAGTTTCAAAGACATATAATTGGAACATTTGGTTCAGCAGAGGGCACCAAGAAAATATTACAACACTGTACTTTGGTGTCAATCCACTCTACGATGGCATGAACATTACTGACAACTGAGATTTACATCACTGTTGTTGTTGCAGTCAATGCAGTCAGCATTTGGGTGGAAGATTTGGTCTGTAGAGGGCTCCGAGCGGGATCTATCACTGTTTTGTTTTTGAATCCAGCAGCCAGAAAATACTGCTTGGGGTCCCTTTCAAAGCATATCAGCACTTGAGAATATTTGTCATGGAGTTTTGGAGCTTTCTGGAAGCCAAGCTTGGCCAAAGGCGGGCACCAAAAGAGGCGCTGTTGAATCTCATTTCACACATAGTCACTTGCAAATCATAAAATTTGACATGTAGACATGGGTATATAAGACTCTACTCCCATGTGATGCACAAAATGGGTGGTTTATTCAAAATGAAGCAAAAAACAGAGGCCACCATGCAAGCCACCATGCAGGTCTATTTGGAAGCTAATGTTGTTCAAGGAGGACCAAAATTTACCAAAGACACAATGGTCATTGCATCTGAGACTTGGTTGCTTGGGAGCACTAGAATATGGCAGAATGGACCCAAGGTTTGCCCCTAGGAGGCTACGAACATTTGCCACCAAAAGTGGAAGGCTTCTATATTAGTAATATTACTCAAGGCACCGCGGAGCCTGGGACCTCTTAGGTAGGTTTCGGTACTACAAAAGAACC